TGCTTTATATAGTTTAAAATAATCTCCTCAGCTTGGATGATCGTTTTCAAGACAGCTGTTACTGAGCTTGGATTTCATCCTTATGCCCAAGATCTGCCTTGTTTCTCCTCCACACGTTTGCTGATTTTGTTGCATTATTATTGTATTGTGGATGATATGATCATTACTGGCTCTGACTCTTCTGCTATCTTTGAAGTCAACATCTCTTCTGCACTTTCGAAATAAAAGATCTAAGACCATTGCAGTATTTTCTTAATATTGAGGTAGTTTCTTCTCCCAAGGACTACTTTCTCTCTCAGGCCAAGTATACCAATGAGATTATTCATCGTGCCAGTCTTACTGACCACTAAGTTTTCTGATACCCCTATTAAGCTTAATGTGATATCAACACTGCTAATGATGTCCCTCTGGATGATCTTACTTTATATCACGGGCTTGTGGATTGCTTAGTCTATCCGACGATTCCCTATGTATTCATGTGGTTAGCCAGTTCGTCTCTGCTCCTCGCTCTACACATTGAGCTTGCTTTTTAGGGATGGCAATATGAACCCGGCCCGACGGGGACCCGGACCGCCCCGTCCCGATAAATAGGTTTTTCCCCGAAAATTATTCCCCGTAGGGCCGGGGCTGGTATTAAAAAATGCATCCCCGATGATTTTCGGGCGGGGGACGGGGATAGATTTCCCACCCCCGGCCCCGCCCCCGGCCCCGCCCCGTTCAGCCCCCCGATCCAGTTTATATATGTATAAATATATGTGTGTGCTGTGTGTTTATATATATTATATAAATATACATACGTGTGTGGGGTTTGGTGTGTGTGTGTGTGTTGGCAACAAACATGTAAACAACAGATCTGGCCCCTCTCTTTCACTCTCTCACTCTCTCACACGATGCATCTCTCCCACACCGTCGGCTTCTCTCACTCTCTCACACGCTGCATCTCTCCCACACCGTCGGCTTCTCTCACTCTCTCACACGCTGCATCTCTCCCACATTGCCGGCTCCTTCTCACCGGCAGCTCCCTCACCGTCGGCTTCTTCGCTCTTTCTCACCGCCGACTCATCTCCCTCTCACGGTATCTCCGTCTCTCTCTCTCTCTCTCTCTCTCACGGATCTCCTCTCTCTCTCTCTCTCTTGTTTTTTGCTTTTGTTCTCCAGATCTGGAAATGATGGAGATGTTGATGAAGATCTGTTGGTGATGAAAATGATGATGATGTTTTTTGATCTGTTAAAGCTCAGATGTTGTTTGATTTGTTAGATGTTTTTTGAGCTCAGATCTGTTAGATTTGTTAGATCTATTGATGTTGTTGTTGTTGTTGTTGATGAATTCATTTTCTGGAGGTTTTGTTTTTTTTTTTTTTTGGCTGGGGATTTTCGGGGTCGAGGAAACCCGATCCCCGTTAGGGGATGGGGGTGGGGGCGGTAGTTGATTCCCCGTCGGGGATCGGGGCCAGGGACGGGGACGGGGGGATTTCCACCATCGGGGATCGGGGACGGGGAGGGTGATCCCCGGCCCCGCCCCGCCCCGTTGCCATTCCTAGCTGCTTTGGATTGGATTCTTCGCTATTTTTGCGGTACTATCTTCCATGGCTTGCTGTTATCTTTTACTTCTTCCTTGGATTTGGTAGCCTATGCTGATGCTGATGCTGATTAGGCTGGTGATAAGTCCACTTCTGGTTTTTGTATGTTTTTTGGCAATTCCTTGATTTCTTGAAAAAGCAAGAAACAAACTGTTGTTGCCCATTCTACTGCCGAAGCCAAGTACCGTGCCATGGCTCATGCTACTATTGAAGTTGTCTGGCTTCGTTGTCTCCTATCTGGCTTAGGTGTCCCTCAGTCCTCTCCGACCTCTCTCCACTATGACAACCACGGGCTATTCAGATTGCCCATAACACTGTCTTTCATGAACGAACGAAGCACATCAAGATTGATTGTCACTTTGTTCATCACCATCTGCAGTCTAGCTCTATCTCGCTTGTTTTTGTCACTTCAGCGCTGCAACTTGCTAACTTCTTCACCAAGACTCATACCACTGCTCGTTTTCAGTTTCTTCTTAACAAACTCTCAGTGTTTTCGGCTAAAACACCTTGAGTTTGAGTGGAGGTGTAAGAATATATTGCATATATTCCAAATTTGGTATAATTCTGATTGTGTATATATTAGGCATGATTGTGATTATGTAGATCTTGTATTTCCTTTTTTGGTTTAGGAGTTTAGGGTTATATAAACTAAGATCTTGATGTAATCGATACACACCATTTGAATATACTATTCTCTTCAGAAAACTTACACCGCATTACCCATGACAAATTGGATGTTCGGAGAAGGATTCCCACCCTTTCAAATACCTTTCCACAGGCCCACTCCATGAGACATAATAACCTACTTTGAAGCCCAACCAGCCCAAACACACTCATATTTACACTCCTTCACCCTCCTTCACCCTCCCATATCTCTCCCTCTCTCAGGTAAACCTCCACAACTATTCCCCAACAAAGCTTGATTGAAGATAGCAAGCCTACGTATGCCCAAACCATCTTCCTTCAACGAGAAATATTCCAATCCACCAAATAAGATTTAAACTTCTCTCCAAATCCACCCCAAAGGAAAACACACCGTAACTTCTCCAACCGTATCACAATTGAAGTTGGAATGGTAAATAATAACAAATAAGTAGGAACTAGAAAGGATGGATAAATTACTCTTAATCAGCATCAACCTCACACTTCTAGAAATTTACTACCTTTCAAATGTGTTGTTGTACCTGGTCATTTGAATCAGACCTCTATCTCGATACAACAAGGAGTTTACCATGGTCAGTGTAATGAGATTTATGGAACTAATCATGCCTTTACGAGTGCGCCCAGAAACATAGGCCGACTGTTGAGCCCACTCTAGCTCAACCACGCCACCCAGGGTGCGAGTTGCGGTGATTAGTTGGACCTTTGATTAATTAACATTTTTCTTTTTACTTCCTCCCTTTTTCTTAATCCGTAGGAGGTAAAATTAAGGTTGTTGTTCAAGTTAGTAAAGTTATTTCATTGTAATTAGACCTAACAAGAACGGAATCACGCTTTGTAGGATTTGAACCTCTCCTCCTGCCTAAAGGCATAAATTGAATCTGGCCTTTACCTTTTCTGAGTGAGATAGCTCCCACCTTGCCAGACACCTTTGAAATCTCTCAACCACCAAGTCCCAAACCGACCTTGCTTTAAAAGAAGAACCAAGAGGCTAATCCAAAGAAGAAGAAGGCAACAGCTCAAATTTACAACCAATGATTGGATTAGATGCTTTTATTTTACGTCCTTTATACTTTTTTATGTAACCAACTAGGTGATGGGACCATTTCTTTTTCTTTCTTTCTTTTTTTTCCGTAAATATTGCATTATAACATAGTATCAATTTTATTCTTTCAATACCAACTCCATGTCTTCTCTCAAAAAAGCAAACAAAAAAACTACTGGGCTAAAGATTTTAATGACACTTGAAATATTTGGGTCCAAGTCTGCACGTGTTTACACATAGTGGAAGATGTAAGCATTTGTTTCTATACATACACACACATAGTTACATTACATGTGTGGGTACACATGTAAGATTGACCGATAGATATCGTGTATGTGTGTGCTTTTCTTTAGAGAGAGAGAGAGAGAGAGAGAGTTGTCAACCAGATCTAGAAGCTACCTGTTCTCTTATTCTACCAACAAACATCCTGATGTTTGGCTTCTCCATGAATCTCTGTTCTTTGTTACTAACAGAGATTACACTGTCATATGAGTCGCCTGCAAAATTGATCAGTCCCTGAAATTCAACATGTATGTCTAATTAGAAAATATGTCCCTACGACCATTTTTTTTTAATAAGGAACAAAAACTTCATTAACAAGAAAGAAGGAATTATATGTACTGAAGAGTTAATTCAGATTTCTAATTTAGTGTTAATTCATTCCTTAATTTCATCTACTAGACCATTAATAGTAAACATAGAAAGAATAAAATAAGAAAACAACATAATATAAAAATTACCACCAAATAAAACTTAGCTTGAACAATTTCAACTGGCTCACATTTGAGTCAGTATTAATTAGTAATTAGTGTTTTACAAATCTGAAGAACTTACAACTTCCTAAGAACTTTATGGGAAATAAAAGTGTTAAAACCAAATATATACATACACCAAAATAAATAAATAAATAAATAAATAAATACAAAGCAAATGAGATATCAGTAGCACTCACATAATGAGCGACAATAACACGCATAAAAACATCTGCCTCAGCCTTCAAATTCAGCATTTCAGGAGGACCATTTACACAGACATCACACCTGCACGTAAGAAACTGTAGTAAGAAACTTTTATTGGGGTGGATGCAAATAAAAAATTGAAATCCGACAATTATAGAGAAGAGAACTATAGTTAATAGTTTACACGACAATAACCATTCCATTATTGTTGGTAATAGTAAAGGGTCCACTCACTGAAATTGTACTTCAAAGCATAGCTATTATATAAAAATTATAGGGCCAAATGATGGGTAGACAAACTTTGATTGTGTACAAGGCTCCCAATATAGACATGTAACAAGGGAAACAATGATATCACATAAGACCTAAACGTAGTCCTTTGACCAAGCTATTTTTATGACTTTAGAATTCTATTCGATACAATTATGATTCTTGTATACACATCAATTACAAAAATACAAAACTTTATGTAATACAATTTTTTATATTAACAATTTCATAATGTGGAAGAATGAAGCTCAATAATTTCATTTTGATTACTATATTATCTAAGTTACTACAACTTGCTTACTATTTTTTCCCCAAGAAGCATGCACACAGACATGGACACGCAACTCGACACATACATGCCTACAATTTTTTCTTATATACATTATTTTTCTTTTATCATTGTATTCCAAGTTATTTTGTTCAAACTTGTAATAAGTTTCATGAATCTAAGCGATTGATACATGTGTCTCTAAGACTCCAAAGATTGTCTCAGTCTAAACAATATTGAAAAAAATAATAGGACACGTTTGGACGCGTATCTAACACGTGTTAGGAAGTGTCCAATGAGTAGTGTCAGTGTCAGACACTAGTTCAACACATGTCTGACACAGACACGTCACTTTCTTAGAAGTCTCTATGGTACCTAATGCATTCTTGACTTGTGGTTTCCATGGGTATAACGTCAATTTTAAAAAAAATAAAACATAAAAAAGACATGTTGGATACCTTAGGCAGTGTTGGGAAGTGTTTGAAATTTTCGGAAAAGCATGAAAAATAATTAAATTAATTTTTGAAATGTGTGACAACCACAAGGTATCAAACATGTGTTGGCGTGTCGACAAGGTTCAGTGCCTAACACCTATTTAACATGGACATGGTGCCTCCGAAGCAAGGTTTCCTTCTCCTTAGAGTGTGAATGTTTTGAATATAAAATTACCATGGGAGTCATACCAGGAACATACCACATCTTACTTGGCAAGCATATAATTTAAATAGTCGCCAAAGCACATAACACATCTTACATGGCAAGCATATAATTTAAATAGTGGCCCAAGTGCCAAAGGGAAATACAAGAATTCTTATTCCTATTTTGTCTCTCCCTCTCTCTCATTTTACGTGGCTCCACCTGTTTCAGTGTACAGCTGCTTTTCTTCTTAACCGTATGCCTACCCCCCTACTCTCTTGTCATTCTCCTTATGAGGCTCTGTTTTCTCAACTTTCCAATTATACTTGCCTTCTTATTTTTAGGCCTGCGTGTTTTGTCCTTCTTCCCCGGAAAGATAGGACAAAACTTAGTGCTCGGTCTGTCTTATGTGTCTTTTTGGGTTACAATCTTACTCAGAAAGGCTATCACTGTTACGATTTTGTTTCCCGCCGCCTTTATGTCACCCACCATATTGCCTTCCAGAAACGTCTAACTTACTTTCAGGTTCCTCCTATCACTACTCTGGTTTCTAAAGAGGATCTAGTTCACATTAATCTATTTCCTTCTGAGATCTCTCCTGATGTACATCTCTACTGTTTCCCATAAGCTTGTTCCCTCTCCTTCTCGTACCACCCCTCCTGCTGAGTCCCTCTCTACTGTCCCCCATGAGCCTATTCCATCCTCTCCGTCTCCTCCCATGCCTACTCATTCTCTTTCTCCGTTGTTAGTCTATACTCATCGCAAGGCTTTCCCTCCACCAATTACCTCTGCCCCTGCTGTTGATCCTCCTGTTTCTAACGACTTTGATCTTATTACCCGTAAATATCCCTTTTGCATCCGTAAATAGATAGTCAAATTTGGTTTTGCTAAAATATGTTTTTCTCCTTCATACTGTACGTATTTGTTTGCTATTCACTCTTTTTCAGAACCTTTTTTGGATTCAAGCTATAGAGGATGAGTTATTTACCTTGCAGAAGACTAAGAGCTTGTTTGGGGTATGATATATAAGCACACTTTTTATTTTTTTATCTTTTCTACTTTTTTGCATATCTTTTCGCAAAAAGTCAAAAAGTGCACTTATTTAGATCATCCCAAACAACCCCTAATACTTGGGAGCTAGTTCCTTTGCCTATTGGCAAGAACCTGATTGGTTGCAAATAGATTTAAAGTCAAGACTCACTCTGATAGTTCTCTTGAGCACTACAAAGCTTGCCTGGTTGCTAAAGGTTTCTCACAGGAACATGGTACTGATTATAAGAAGATCTTTGCTCTTGTTGCCAAGATGATTATTGTCCGTACTTTGATTTCTGTTGCTGTTGTTCGTCATTGGCCTCTTTATCAGATGGATGTTGAGAATGTTTTTCTTAATGGACATCTCACTAAAGAGGTTTACATGCATCCTCCCCCTGATATCATCATTTCTCTAGACAGGTTTGTTGTCTTCGGCGTGCTCTATATGGTTTAAACCAATCTTCTCATGCTTGGTATGATCGTTTTCAGACAGCTGTTAGTTTTCTGATACCCCCATTAAGCTTAATGTGAGCTCAACACTGCTAATGATGTCCCTCTGGATGATCTTACTTTATATTGCGGCCTTGTGGATTGCTTAATCTATCTGACGATTACTCACCCTGATCTTACCTATGTTGTTCATGTGGTTAGCCAGTTCATCTCTGCTCCTCGCTCTACACATTAGGTTGCTTTGGTTCGGATTCTTTGCTATTTTCGCGGTACTGTCTTCCATGACTTGCTGTTATCTTTTACTTCTTCCTTGGATTTGGTAGCCAATGCTGATGCTGATTAGGCTAGTGATAAGTCCACTTCTGGTTTTTGTATGTTTTTAGCAATTCCTTGATTTATTGAAAAAGCAAGAAACAAACTGTTGTTGCCCATTCTACTGCCGAAGCCAAGTACCGTGCCATGACTCATGCTACTACTGAAGTTGTCTGGCTTTGTTGTTTCCTATCTGACTTGGGTGTCCCTCAGTCCTCTCCGACCTCTCTTTACTATAACAACCGCAGGCTATTCAGATTGCCCATAACACTGTCTTTCATGAACGAACGAAGCACATCGAGATTGATTGTCACTCCGTTCATCACCATCTGCAGGCTGGCTCTATCTCGCTTGTTTTTGTCACTCCAGCTCTACAACTTGCTGACTTCTTCACCAAGACTCATACCACTGCTCGTTTTCGATTTCTTTTTAACAAACTCTCAGTGTTTTCTACTAAAACACCTTGAGTTTGAGTAGGGATGTGAGAATATATTGCATATATTCCAAATTTGGTATAATGCTGATTGTGTATATATTAGGCATGATTGTGATTATGTAAATCTTGTATTTTCTTTTTTGGTTTAGGAGTTAGGGTTATATAAACTAAGGTCTTGATGTAATCGATACACACCATTTGAATAAAATATTCTCTTCAGAAAACTTACACCGCATTACCCATGACAAATTGGATGTTCGGAGAAGGATTCCCACCCTTTCAAATACCTTTCCACAGGTTTATTTATGACAAGTTGAAGTTAGCAAAAAAGTGAATACCTGCCAATATGCATTTAGACATTTTATTTAGAGACATGGTACACTTTATTCCCAAAACAACAAACTTAGAGAACCAAAAACCATTCTCTTACTTTTTCCCTAATTTTCTCTTTGTCAATAATCCAAATATATATATATATATATATATGTAAATGAACTGGTCTCCCCTTAGGGATTGATGCAGACAAAGCTAGAGCAGCATGCAGGTTACATGACAATGTGGCTCCAAATTGATAAAACTTCTGGTACTTAGTTATGGAGTTATTTCTTTTAGTTATTAAGATGCTATCATCTCTCTCTCTCTCTTGTCAATGCAACTTATCCAGGTAGTTCATGTGGGAATTTATTTCCTCTAACAACCCTCCGTGCATGCTATAGTTATCCTCTTCCAATCAGTTGTCACAATTATGGTTGGTGCCTAATTGACCAGGGTGTAATGATAACATCTTAACATCTTACACCTAAACTGGTGGCTCACCTTCTCCAAGCAACTGGTAATATATTATAGGACCAAAACATGACTATGTTTGGGACGTGGGTTTTGTGGCTTTTTTGGCTAAAATAGCCACAAAAAACAAAATAGGCTTTTTAACCCAATAAGACAAAACATCACATCTAACCCATAATTATCGCATTCTTTCTCTCACAAAAAAATCAAAAAAGCCAAAAGCCCTTCCCAAACCAGGCTTTTTAGCCCTCAGGCTAAAATAGCCCAAAAAACCAACCCACTTCCCAAACGAAGCCCAAGTGAGACAATGATAGGCTATCAAAAACATAGAAGAGATGGGAGAGGAAGTTGACATAGATTTTTATTCTTTTTATTCTTAATAATCTCTCAGGTCTCAGCTATTAATCCTTTGTGAATTTACAAGGGTATATTTTTGACACTGCAGAAATATCTGAACTAGAATTAATTTATAATCGGACTCTACCCTCATTAACATGTACACACTTTTTCAAGAGAACATTGGATAAAGCATATGTCAAGAGAAAAACAAGAGAATTTACGAACTGTATTAAAAAGTTTCATAGTCCATACCTGTAAGACATTTTCATGAAATTCATTGTGCACCTGCCTCAGATGCGATCTTGGCAACTGGGGAAAATAAAAATCATAAATCACTTGCATACCAAACAGGAAAAAGGACCTCAAACACTAGAAGAAAGCTGGCAGAATAAGAGTGATTGCAACCTCATCACTACCCTTTTGTGACAACATTATCAATCACACAAAAAACATTAGCACGGAGGTTGAAAACGTGAAAGTTAATAATGGTGTTTCTGTTGCCCCAAGGAGAATGCATCAATTTTATAAAGTTAATAATCACTTATTGAATAAAACTTTCAGCTTCCACTTTGATCGTTCATGAGACTTAAGATTTCACAAATTTTGAAAACTAGGAGTGACAAAAGTCTAGCAAGGCTAACGAGTTGATTTACCTGGAAGAGAGTTAGAAAACCATAATCAAAATGAAACAAACTAATGAATGACAGGTAATCCAAATTAAACAGGTGTTCAAAAATAGTTACCTTCGCATTATAAGCAGCAGCCTTCACACCACACTTGCAAAGAAACTTTGATATGCTTAATGTTTCTTTTCTAGTAGGTACATATATAATTGTTGATCCTTCTAAATGACCTTGCTGAAGTTTTAATCCTTCTTCCTGTTTGTTAGGTAGATCATTTATCTCACGTAACCCACAAATATCTGGGTCCTTATCAGGTGATTGACCAAAGAATTCACCACAGGAAACTGCAATGAGTAGATTCTAAAGTGAATGTTCATGTAAAAGAAAAAGAATTATAGAAACACATTCTTTAGTTAGGGGAAGAGAAGAGAAAAAAAATTTCAAAGATCTCCACTTTACCATGTATTAGACAATTAGAAGAGTAATAAGATAAATGAAGTGACTAGAGCCACTAGAAGAAACATTTATTTCTCCAGGTCCACAAAAACTAATTGCTGAAAAAGTGAGGTGATTTGGAAGATTCATAAATAAGCAAAAAAATTCAGCCAAAGTTACTAATACATGTTGAACATAGATGAGCCCATCTTCCTTATCATATCTCTCCAATTCTGCCACTAAACGAATTGATTAAAATTTTAAAGCATTTCATTCTATTTTCTTGTCTCTTCTCTTTGTTTATCCCCTCTTCCTTTGAGTGAGAACCAGAGAATGCATTCATGAAGAAATCATTTTATGGTTTCATTTGTGATTTACCATCAAATTCTACCTATTTAGACAAAGAGGGCTGTTATATATCATCAAAACACTTCACCTCCGGCGGTTTCCCATTTGTCATGGCGGGTCAAATTATTTTTTAACTATGGTGGGCCCAACGCATACACATGCAGTTTATTGTATGGATACATGTGGGAGGTGACATACATCCGGTGATAAATATCATTTTCCATAAGAGAAATTATATATGTTTAAGACCAACAAATACAACATGAAACAACAGAAGAAAATTCTAGAAAAGTTGACGAAATATTACCATCCAAATCATCTACACCCATTAAAAGATCACACTCATCTTCCAGATATTCAACCAACAACTTTTTCTCATTTGAAGCAGTTGACTGATTTGCCTTTGATGAACTTGCATCATCATCATTTTCAGAAAAGGAATCATCCACAATAGTGTCCAGAAGACTCTGGGACATTCTATCTGCCTCAAATACGCTATCATTTGAAGTGTTACTGGAGCTATCTGAATCATGCTTTAGATCTTGTAACATCACATTATGCTTCTTTTTATCAGGCCTTTTCTTTCTGGTATATATATTTATCAATTCACAAAAATCCTTCTCATAAGAAGATGGAGATGATGTTCTACTATGCTTTACCTGTACGGTTTCCTTCTCCTTAGAGTGTGAATGTTTTGAATATAAAATTACCATGGGAGTCATACCAGGAACATACCACATCTTACTTGGCAAGCATATAATTTAAATAGTCGCCAAAGCACATAACACATCTTACATGGCAAGCATATAATTTAAATAGTGGCCCAAGTGCCAAAGGGAAATACAAGAATTCTTATTCCTATTTTGTCTCTCCCTCTCTCTCATTTTACGTGGCTCCACCTGTTTCAGTGGTTCATGACCTGCTGTTGTAGAGCCTAGTCCTTTAGATTGCCAGTCTATATAGTGTCATGGTCTCAAAGTACACATAAAACAGATAAACCTATGGCAGCTGCTATGTAAAGCACAGCCTCAGGAAAAGAATCATCACATACAGTTGACACTTCTGATAGCTAAATTCCTCCCCAAAATACTCTACAAGGATTTTGGCTCGACAACTTGAAGTATTCATTCCATACCTGCAGGGTCAACAAGAAAGGAAAAAATAGAAAAACTCAAAAAGAGAAAAACAAAGAAAGAAACTGTGAAGCACAACATGTTAAGACATGGTAAAAAAACAAATGAGACTCCACCACAATATATTTGACAACCTGAAGCAATCAGATAACATCCTGTAAGCTTGTTTTGTCTGATCTTCACTTCTTCGACTTGGCAAAAGTGATGGTATTCTTGAGAGGTTTGCATATAGAACTGCGTTGACAAAACCAAACAGATTTAATATATATATTCAGTGCCTCTAACTTCAGGAGAAGCAACATGACTACTGTTCTGCCAAATGAACACAAATGTGTTTGAAAAAAATAGGATAAACTACCAATAGGTCCTAATAGTTAGACTTAATTCCCATCAAGTCATATTGAAAATAAGTCTTGGTAAAATTGTCGCTAAAAATATATTTTTTTTGACAATTTTTTACATGTCGCTAAAAATTGACAATTAGTGACTTTTTTTTGTTATTATTTTTATAAATTGTCGCTAAAACTTACAATTAGTGACATTTTTTTATGACAATTTTTTTTCCATAGGATCTATTAGACAATAAATCCACTTATTAGGACTTACGTGTAAGTACCCCTTGAAAATATAGGCCAAAGAAAGGATTTTGAGTTGCCAGTTCTTTGCGAAAGGTACTATTATAGGATATATATGATAGTGGTCATTACCAACCATAAAAGATTTATTGCCATATATTTAACAAAGAATGAAGGAACTCACTGCAATCTGCTAATTTCCCATCCCTCCCAGATCGACCAGCTTCTTGGTAATATGCTTCCAAACTCTGTAAACAGACTAAATAGTTATGAGAAGCTTGCAACATCAAACAAACGAAAATGAAAAGGCAGGAAATAGATAAGGTGGGCATAGTCAACATATGAAGTTAAAAGTGGAGGAAACTTGAAGTAATGCAATTTACGAGACCTAAAATATGAAGGTGGCAATTTAAAAGATTTGAAATATATGCATATGATGCGGAATCAACGAATGACTGAAAAGTATACAAATAATCAGCATTGAGGCAAACAGCAATGATAAAATAATTACAAATGGATTCAGATAAGTCCAAAGCACTAAACACATTGCCAAGGCATCAAATCTAAGAAATATACCTGTGGCCAGCCATAATGAATGATTCTTCGTACATTTAACTTGTCAATCCCCATTCCAAAAGCAATTGTTGCAACAACCACCTGAAGATTTGGCATAGGGATCTATATTAACTCTTAAATAATTTCTTTTAATAAGTATATTAACTCTTAAAATATAAATAAAAACACAATGAGTGAAGAAATTGCCTTGCATGCAGTGAAAACTACAAGCAATTTTTTTCCCCCCCTCCATGAAACAATGTAAAACACATCAGTTATAAAACTAATGACATCATGTCCTTGATGAATTTTGGTCTTGCTTTCTGGTTACTTTTATTTATTTATGACAAGTCGAAGTTAGCAAAAAAGTGAATACCTGCCAATATGCATTTAGACATTTTATTTAGAGACATGGTACACTTTATTCCCAAAACAACAAACTTAGAGAACCAAAAACCATTCTCTTACTTTTTCCCTGATTCTCTCTTTGTTATTAAACCAAATATATATATATATATATATGTAAATGAACTGGTCTCCCCTTAGGGATTGATGCAGACAAAGCTAGAGCAGCATGCACGTTACATGACAATGTGGCTCCAAATTGATAAAACTTCTGGTACTTAGTTATGGAGTTATTTCTTTTAGTTATTAAGATGCTATCATCTCTCTCTCTCTCTTGTCAATGCAACTTATCCAGGTAGGTCATGTGAGAATTTATTTCCTCTAACAACCCTCCGTGCATGCTATAGTTATTGTAAGAATTTATGTATTATTGATTGATGTATTGATAGATTGATAAATTACAATTCCTATACAATCTATATATAGAAGAAAATGTGGTAGTAGGTGTAGTGGAGGTGATAGTGGGTTAGGTGAAGTGGAGTGTGTGGTGAAGTGGAGGTAGGTGAAGTGGAGTGTGTAGTAATACTGATGTATTATTATTGATTGTATTGTTACAAGATTGATTAATTACAATTCCTATACAATCTATATATAGAAGAAAATGTGGTAGTAGGTGTAGTGGAGGTGATAGTGGGTTAGGTGAAGTGGAGTGTGTAGTGGAGTAAGTGAAGGTAAAGATTGATTGATGTATTGATGTATTACAAGATTGATTGATTACAATTCCTATACAATCTATATATAGAAGAAAATGTGGTAGTAGGTGTAGTGGAGGAGATAGTGGGTTAGGTGAAGTGGAGTGTGTAGTGGAGTAAGTGAAGGTAAAGATTGATTGATGTATTGATGTATTACAAGATTGATTGATTACAATTCCTATACAATCTATATATAGAAGAAAATGTGGTAGTAGGTGTAGTGGAGGAGATAGTGGGTTAGGTGAAGTGGAGTGTGTAGTGGAGTAGAGGTAGGTGAAGTGGAGTGTGTAGTAATACTGATGTATTATTATTGATTGTATTGTTACAAGATTGATTAATTACAATTCCTATACAATCTATATATAGAAGAAAATGTGGTAGTAGGTGTAGTGGAGGAGATAGTGGGTTAGGTGAAGTGGAGTGTGTAGTGGAGTAAGTGAAGGTAAAGATTGATTGATGTATTGATGTATTACAAGATTGATTGAATTACAATTCCTATACAATCTATATATAGAAGAAAATGTGGTAGTAGGTGTAGTGGAGGAGATAGTGGGTTAGGTGAAGTGGAGTGTGTAGTGGAGTAAGTGAAGGTAAAGATTGATTGATGTATTGATGTATTACAAGATTGATTGAATTACAATTCCTATACAATCTATATATAGAAGAAAATGTGGTAGTAGGTGTAGTGGAGGAGATAGTGGGTTAGGTGAAGTGGAGTGTGTAGTGGAGTAAGTGAAGGTAAAGATTGATTGATGTATTGATGTATTACAAGATTGATTGAATTACAATTCCTATACAATCTATATATAGAAGAAAATGTGGTAGTAGGTGTAGTGGAGGAGATAGTGGGTTAGGTGAAGTGGAGTGTGTAGTGGAGTAAGTGAAGGTAAAGATTGATTGATGTATTGATGTATTACAAGATTGATTGAATTACAATTCCTATACAATCTATATATAGAAGAAAATGTGGTAGTAGGTGTAGTGGAGGAGATAGTGGGTTAGGTGAAGTGGAGTGTGTAGTGGAGTAAGTGAAGGTAAAGATTGATTGATGTATTGATGTATTACAAGATTGATTGAATTACAATTCCTATACAATCTATATATAGAAGAAAATGTGGTAGTAGGTGTAGTGGAGGAGATAGTGGGTTAGGTGAAGTGGAGTGTGTAGTGGAGTAAGTGAAGGTAAAGATTGATTGATGTATTGATGTATTACAAGATTGATTGAATTACAATTCCTATACAATCTATATATAGAAGAAAATGTGGTAGTAGGTGTAGTGGAGGAGATAGTGGGTTAGGTGAAGTGGAGTGTGTAGTGGAGTAAGTGAAGGTAAAGATTGATTGATGTATTGATGTATTACAAGATTGATTGAATTACAATTCCTATACAATCTATATATAGAAGAAAATGTGGTAGTAGGTGTAGTGGAGGAGATAGTGGGTTAGGTGAAGTGGAGTGTGTAGTGGAGTAAGTGAAGGTAAAGATTGATTGATGTATTGATGTATTACAAGATTGATTGAATTACAATTCCTATACAATCTATATATAGAAGAAAATGTGGTAGTAGGTGTAGTGGAGGAGATAGTGGGTTAGGTGAAGTGGAGTGTGTAGTGGAGTAAGTGAAGGTAAAGATTGATTGATGTATTGATGTATTACAAGATTGATTGAATTACAATTCCTATACAATCTATATATAGAAGAAAATGTGGTAGTAGGTGTAGTGGAGGAGATAGTGGGTTAGGTGAAGTGGAGTGTGTAGTGGAGTAAGTGAAGGTAAAGATTGATTGATGTATTGATGTATTACAAGATTTCACAAAAAAATCAAAAAAGCCAAAAGCCCTTCCCAAACCAGGCTTTTTAGCCCTCAGGCTAAAATAGCCCAAAAAACCAACCCACTTCCCAAACGAAGCCCAAGTGAGACAATGATAGGCTATCAAAAACATAGAAGAGATGGGAGAGGAAGTTGACATAGAGTTTTATTCTTAATAATCTCTCAGGTCTCAGCTATTAATCCTTTGTGAATTTACAAGGGTATATTTTTGACACTGCAGAAATATCTGAACTAGAATTAATTTATAATTGGACTCTACCCTCATTAACATGTACACACTTTTTCAAGAGAACATTTGATAAAGCATATGTCGAAAGAAAAACAAGAGAATTTACAAACTGTATTAAAAAGTTTCATAGTCCATACCTGTAAGACATTTTCATGAAATTCATTATGCACCTGCCTCAGATGTGATCTTGGCAACTGGGGAAAATAAAAATCATAAATCACTTGCATACCAAACAGGAAAAAGGACCTCAAACACTAGAAGAAAGCTGGCAGAATAAGAGTGATTGCAACCTCATCACTACCCTTTTGTGACAACATTATCAATCACACAAAAAACATTAGCACGGAGGTTGAAAACGTGAAAGTTAATAATGGTGTTTCTGCTGCCCCAAGGAGAATGCGTCAATTTTATAAAGTTAATAATCACTTATTGAATAAAACTTTCAGCTTCCACTTTGATCGTTCATGAGACATAAGATTTCACAAATTTTGAAAACTAGAAGTGACAAAAGTCTAGCAAGGCTAAAGAGTTGATTTACCTGGAAGAGAGTTAGAAAACCATTATCAAAATGAAACAAACTAATGAATGATAGGTAATCCAAATTAAACAGGTGTACAAAAATAGTTACCTTCGCATTATAAGCAGCAGCCTTCACACCACACTTGCAAAGAAACTTTGATATGCTTAATGTTTCTTTTCTGGTAGGTACATAAATAATTGTTGATCCTTCTAAATGACCTTGCTGAAGTTTTAATCCTTCTTCCTGTTTGTTAGGTAGATCATTTATCTCATGTAACCCACAAATATCTGGGTCCTTATCAGGTGATTGACCAAAGAATTCACCACAGGAAACTGCAATGAGTAGATTCTAAAGTGAATGTTCATGTAAAAGAAAAAGAATTATAGAAACACATTCTTTAGTTAGGGGAAGAGAAGAGAAAAAAAATTTCAAAGATCTCCACTTTACCATGTATTAGACAATTAGAAGAGTAATAAGATAAATGAAGTGACTAGAGCCACTAGAAGAAACATTTATTTCTCCAGGTCCACAAAAACTAATTGCTGAAAAAGTGAGGTGATTTGGAAGATTCATAAATAAGCAAAAAAATTCAGCCAAAGTTACTAATACATGTTGAACATAGATGAGCCCATCTTCCTTATCATATCTCTCCAATTCTGCCACTAAACGAATTGATTAAAATTTTAAAGCATTTCATTCTATTTTCTTGTCTCTTCTCTTTGTTTATCCCCTCTTCCTTTGAGTGAGAACCAGAGAATGCATTCATGAAGAAATCATTTTATGGTTTCATTTGTGATTTACCATCAAATTCTACCTATTTAGACAAAGAGGACTGTTATATATCATCAAAACACTTCACCTCCGGCGGTTTCCCATTTGTCATGGTGGGTCAAATTATTTTTTAACTATGGTGGGCCCAACGCATACACATGCAGTTTATTGTATGGATACATGTGGGAGGTGAAATACATCCGGTGATAAATATCATTTTCCACAAGAGAAATTATATACGTTTAAGACCAACAAATACAACATGAAACAACAGAAGAAAATTCTAGAAAAGTTGACGAAATATTACCATCCAAATCATCTACACCCATTAAAAGATCACACTCATCTTCCAGATATTCAACCGACAACTTTTTCTCATTTGAAGCAGTTGACTGATTTGCCTTTGATGAACTTACATCATCATCATTTTCAGAAAAGGAATCATCCACAATAGTGTCCAGAAGACTCCGAGACATTCTATCTGTCTCAACTATGCTATCATTTGAAGCGTTACTGGAGCTATCTGAATCATGCTCTAGATCTTGTAACATCACATTATGCTTCTTTTTATCAGGCCTTTTCTTTCTGGTATATATATTTATCAATTCACAAAAATCCTTCTCATAAGAAGATGGAGATGATGTTCTACTATGCTTTACCTGTACATATCAAAAAATGAATAGGAAAGATTACTGCAGGAATGAGTAGAATGATGCACACATTCCCACACATGAGTCACCTTAGTGTCAGAAAATTTATAGATATTTATGTATAGAAATTCTGGAATTGACATACCCAAGGTCTAGAATCAAAATTCAAAAAAAAATTTCATTGAGTGCTACTTTAAACTTCTTATTAATGCATAAAAATGCAATAAAAGAATACAAACATACCCATGTGCATGTGTGTTGCATCAAAAAACAGTTTTGAAGGCATAATAACCACACTTAAAAATATATAACTCACTGAAAATCGAAGATTTGGCCGGAAAAAAGAAGTCAGCACAATTTTTGTTGCATTCGACATGCACAATGAGTTCAGGATGTCTTCTCGAACACGAACAGTGGCAGTAGCAGTCAATGCCATCAGTGGTATGTCAAATCTTAAAAAATTTAAATTGTCAGCCCTGAAGTTCTCTCTCAAAACGGACAACCGCCTAAAAATGCATGAGAAAATATCCGTCAGAAAATCATAATAATTCCATTCATTAAATCGAAAACATAGGTTGATGTGAGAGTATGTGTAACATGGAGAACAAGATAGAGAGCAAGTGGCAACAAAAACGTTGCTAGAATATCATACACAAATAAGTGGTTGGGTAACTTTGAACTGCAAATCATAGGTGGAGTGGAACCGATGTTACCAATCATTGCACAACCATAAAAGTATAGGAATTATAAAGGTGGACAAAATAAAGAAATGCATAGAAATTATTCTCTGTTCATGCATATATATGAACCTCATAGCATATTTTTAAATTGAGTCAATCATAATCAATCCCACCTGCCCTGCACACACAAGAACTGCACCTCATAGTCGCTAGGGACAATCACTAGATTCCCAAGGTAATTGTACTACTCCATGCATTTGTTTACAAAAGATCCAAATACTACCATGTCTGTACAAGTGACATGGACTAGAAACACCAAATGACATATTCAAGAGGATAGAAAATATAAACCTGTAATCGGGCCGAAAATCATGACCCCACTTAGAAACACAATGGACTTCATCAATAGCAAAAAGTGCTATTCCGCGGCTTTCCGCAAGGCTTTGAAGAGGTTTTATCAGTCTGCAGCAAAATGTATACATCTTTATTTATTAAACATAATTGCAGGCACCTTCCTAAAATACGTAGGATCACATAAACTTCTTACCTTAAAATTGTCTCTGGACAGACATAGATAATGTCATACATGCCTCTCATTGATTTCTGCTCAATGCTACTGTCTGTTTGTCCAGAACCAAGAAAGCAGGCTGACACCCCATGTTTTGCTAGCTTTAAGCATTGATCGTGCATCAAACTTATCAAAGGTGAAATGACCACCACAACTTTTCCCGTTAATAGTGCTGGAATCTGAAAACACAAGGACTTCCCTATAAAAGGGTAATTTTTCTGAGATGTTGAGAATCCATAAGTGCACTTGACAAAATGAATGGTAACATATGTAGAAATAAGTTCTAAACAAACAACCAAACCACATAAAAAAGATACCAGATCCTGTTGCTGCAAGAACAAGGCAGTCTTGGTGGGCTAACCAAGCAGCCAGAGCTTCCTTTTGGAAACTCTTCAAGGATGAATATCCAAAATGCTTGTATAGCAGATTATTGACTTTCTGCTCCCAATCTGGTCCAATATCCAGCTCTTCTTGGCAGCGAAATGGCAGTATAGATTTTTCGGGAGTGGTTTCCAGATTGCATTTCCTGGCATGAAAAGGCTCATTTGATCCTTTCACAGGCTTGGGCAACACCTGTGATCCAGAGACTGATACATTAGATTCAGTATTGGTTTTGCTTCTTTTGGGTCTACCTGTTGATTGGAGATGTTCCATTATAGTTGATTGTCGCATTCGATCAGAAGAACGAGAAGCTGACAATGCTCTTTTGCCCAGAGCTTTCCCATTGCTTGTAGAACATTTAGAACTTGCTGAAGCAACGGTACTATTTCTACATGAACCATTCAAGATAAATTCAATTGCATCCTCCAATGATGGGCCCACTGCTTTAATGGCTTCAGTAACATCAGAAAACTCAAATCCCATTCCAATCAATTCTGCAACAACTTGGTCAGAAGATACGCAACTGCTGTCCATGGTGTGTAAACTGTTTCCATGAAAAAGCGAGGGGAAAGAAAAGCACTTTCATAACCCATGAAACATGTATATTACAGGAAATAAAGTTAACAGAAAATTTAACTTGAAGGCTCACCTAGCACATCTGAACGATGAATGTAACCATTGCAAGTTCTAATACATAAAAGAATTATTATTACAGTTAGTCTAATTATGAAGAAGTTAATAATAAAGCAAGATGCTTCATATGAAGTGGTTTGCATCAAGTTGGCAATTGGCAAAAAGCCTTGTGCTCCATTTGATTGCTAAAAGGAGGTATAGTAAAGAGAAGAAAATCATTATGAATAAAAAAATTTACATGATTATGGACTCGAGTAAATTATGAAGTCCGGACAATACACCTAGGCTTAAAGGCCAGATAAGTTTCCCAAATTCTAGCAAGATAAACAGCATAAAAACATAAGATTCAAAATATTAATTCGGTCAGTTACACTTCCCATGTTAGAAGCAACTAAACATATGATTCAAATATCATTTGGTAAATAGGGATTAGTTTGTCATCCTCAAAAAATATGGCAGTTGGGATACAAGGAAGTTTAGATTATTCAACCAAGCTTTGCTAAGAATATGATTGAGGAGATGTGCAATTGAAAGAGATTATTTCTGGATAAGGGTGGCAGAGGGGATATTTGAAATTGTGGGTGGCGGGTATAATAATGAGGTTCGAAATTCACGAAGGATTGGTGGCGTGGAAAGAAATACAAAAGGCTGCATGGAAGTACATGTAAGATGCCACAAGAAATGGTTTTGGATGATAGCAGGTGTGTTGTGGGGATGCAAGCTAAAAATCTACTTCCTTAACTATTTTGCATTGCCTCTACCAAGGAGGCTTCTACAACAGACAATGTATGTAGTGCCCCATCCGAAATCGCTTGGGTAGGAAAATTTCATGGGCTACATAAATGAGTTCACATTTATGTTACCTAGAACTGGATCATTTCGGTATGTGGAAAGGGAATAGGAACGTAGTGCGCCACATGCTCTATATTGAGATACAATAGGGGTAAACATGTATAGATCATACTATAAGAATTTAAGGTAATTCTAGAGTAACTGTTTTAACAATTTGACACCTAATAACAAGCATTAAAGCCTTGATGTCTAAGGCCAAACCAAAGAATATAGTTACTTTTTGGGATTGGGTGGGATAGGGGGCATTACAAATTACAATTATTGTTGGAGCAAGACATGCCTCACTGTGTGTAGAACCAATGTGTTCTACGGACCAACTTGTTACATCACACAACAGAGGCGTTGTATAAACCGACTCTAAATCTGTATAAGCCACCTTTTGAATTCCAGTGGGAACCGTTGACCCCATGAAGATGTGCGATCTTGAGGGGCGACTGTAATACCCCATCCCACATCACTTGGTAGGAAAAGATATGGGCAATGTAAGCACCTCACGTCTCTTTTGGTATTACTAAATTTATATGCAACATGGTAATTAATGCCCACTGTGTTTAATTTATGGCAGTAATTGTGTAGAAAAATTTGTTTTTTGCTTGAGACAAAGTTGTAGTGTTCCTCTTTATAAGCTACTGATGTATTTCACAATATTAAATGCAATAGGCACTGTAATTGTATCTATGTAGCTGATTTGGTTGGGTTTTATGTTTGAATGAATGGCAATGTATTATTATTATTATTTTTTTTTTTTATAATCCACGGTATCTCCCGCTCGGCCTAACCCAATTGGACCCGAGTTAGCTTGTATCTGGACAATGAGAACTAATCCCTGAAGGCCCTAAAATTAATGACCGGATAAACTTCCAGTGGCCCCTTGGGAGACTCGAATTCAAGATATTGGATAGGTAATGTATTATATATATTGATAATCTAGGGTATCTCCCCCCAGCCTAGCCCAATTGGACTCGAGTTAGCTTGTATCTGGACAGCCGAGAACTAATCTCAGAGGCTATAAAGTTAACGACCGGGAAAACCTCCAGTGGCCCCTTGGAAAACTCAAACTTGAGACCTTGGATACGTAATGTATTAACTCAAAAATGATAATAGATGGTTTTTATTCTCCAAAACATCATCTAGGGCAGCTTCAGAAATTATGTTCCTTTTTGTTAGCTTCTATAAACCAAGTGGACAATGTATAGTTATTTTGTAACGCTCTTTTAGTTGTATCATGGAATCAGAATACAAAGAATCTAATTTGCAATCTTTTACTTTAGAAAACCTTTCATAATAAAATATAGGGTCAATTACACTAACCTCCCTTGATGTTTGAAAAAAAATACAATATGCCACACAAGTTTGGCATAATTAGACTGGGCACCCCCTAAAGTTTTAATTCATATCACACTTGGCCCCCTTTTCATTCGAAATTCATTAGTCATATGAATGAAAAAATGATGTTATCATCTCTTTTATATTAGAATGTACATGTTATCTTGTGTATCTTTGTATCTTCATATGCCATTTGCATTAGTTTTAATCTCTTTAACCTTACTAAAAGGGAGATCAGTGTAATTACGTCAAAACTATAGAGCTTACAGTATCTTCTCCAAACTACAAGGGAGGTCAATGTAATTTACCCTAAAATGTATATCATTCATTTTTTTTAATCTCCTAATAACATAGTATTAATTTGGGCCCTTAACATAAAAATCATGGCTCCACCCCTGACCACGATAATTTGTCTCAATGACAATTGTTCTTCTGATGCCATTACATTAGCCAAAAACATTTTCTTGAGTCTGAATCAATTTCTTCATTTTCTGGATTTGATGTATTGAAATAACAAAATATGTCCGGTACAACTCTACACAGTCTCATTCCCCAGCAAGTCCTGTATTGATAATTTGTTCATAAAAAAAGAAATAACAATTACATGTGGCATGATCAAGGGACAAACAAATCAGATTAATCAGGTGTCTGTGTGCCTGTCAGCTTCAAATACCAAAATTAATACAAACCAAATGTGAGTCACATTACCCCTGTTTGGTTGCAGGTAAACAGAAGGAAAATACAAGAAATAAAACGAATCAGAGAAACATATAGAGATAAACAATGTGAGTTACTGAATCAGAACAAAACAACAAGTAAAGCGATTTGCTAAAATTGTAATAAAAATTGAGGAACAAGATTTAGGTAAGAGACATTTTAATTTACCTGCAAAAGAAAAAAAAGTGATTCGATGGTGGACAGAACGAAATTGAAACCCTAGAATTGCAGAGAGCTGGCGGAGTGAGAAGAGAGGGGTTGCAACGGAGCTAGTGATCGTCTGAAATCGACGCTCGCCAATCGCCGCGCCAAACTACGATCTTGAATTGAGGGAGGAAAAATGCTATGGGTGTATCATACGACGTCGCCTAATGTCTTGTCATCCAAGTATTTTCTTTCACCATTTTGGTTTTGTTCTCTTAAATTTGTTTCAGAATGTTTTTTTTTTCAAAAAAAAAAAAAATTTAATTTATTGAAAGAAATAAAAATAAATTTAAAAAAAAAACTTAATTCACTTTGCTTGTTTTTGGTTTTTTAAAAATACTTTTCAGAAAATTTAATTTCTGTTTTCTTTTTTTTTTAGTGGATTTTTTTAATATTTTAAGTAATTTTTTTAATTTTTACACACACCTAACATAAATACACACAAAAAGTATGATAAATTACATTGACACCCTATGAGATTTATGTTTACTACAGTTCTTCCCTCACTTTTTAAAAATTACATCCCCTCATTGAGATTTAAAGTTTCATTACAGATTGTTTCTTCCAGCAATTTAATTTTTTTAAATACCAATTTTGCCCTCACTGGGTAAATTACATTGACACCCCTTACATTTTATAAATTACAATCTTCTCCTCAAGATTTGAAGTAGCATTACTAATTGCCCCCTCGATTAGTATTAATTAAAAAAAATCATTGGAAAAAAAATAATTGGAAAAAAAATATTTGAAAAAAAAATTTGTTAGTCAAATTTTAAAATTTCTGTTTAAAAACCAATGTAAGATAAAAATTACACTGACACCCCTTGAGGTTTATGTTTATTACACTCGAAAGATAAAAATTATATAAAAATTATAATTATTTTTTATCTTTTATTTCTTTAAAAAATTAATTTTAATTTTTTAAAAAAAAAATCTAAAATCAAACCATACATAGCCTAAGAATCTTTTGATAAGTCATTTCTTACACTGGTAACTTAGTTAATTATTTGTTAATTTTACGGCATTTTTACCATCTGAGACTTGTTTGGAAACCACTTCGTTTTCAGTTTTCAATTTATATTTACAAAAATTAAAAAATTGTCATTAAAACTTATTTGATAATTTTTTTTTGTTTATAAATGGTTGTCCAGTTTGTAAATGTGAGGAAAAAACGTAAATTCAAAAAATGAGTTTACGTTGGTTTTTAAATAGAAATTTAAAATTTTGACTAACAAATTTTTTTTTCAATTAATATTTTTTTCCAATTAATTTTTTTTTCAATGAATTTTTTTTCAACTAATACTAACCGAGGGGACAATTGGTAATACTACTTTAAACCTGGGAAGGGAATTGTAATTTTTAAAATGTGAGGGGTGTCAATGTAATTTACCCAGTGAGGGCAAAATTGGTATTTAAAAAAATTAAATTGCTGGAGGGAACAATCTGTAATGAAACTTTAAACCTCAGGAAGGGGAATGTAATTTTCAAAAAGTGAGAGGAAAAACTGTAATAAACATAAATCTCAGGGGGTGTCAATATAATTTACCCTAAAAAGTATAATTTTTGTGAAAAAAAAATCTTTTAAAAATTTGCTAAATACCAAAATTACAAAAAAAAAATACAAGAATTCAATATATTTTTCATATTTTTATGTATTTATTAATTTTTAAAATATTTTTTCACAAATTTTTTACTTTTTAGATATATCTAAGTATGGTGCATCTAAAAAAGTAAAAAAAAATACTTAAAATTTTAAAAACATTCACTAAAAATAAAAAAAATATATGAAAAATAAAAAACTTAATTCAAAAAACTCAAACCAAACACATTTTTATAGAATTTTTAAAACTTTAAAAATATCTTTTTGATATGTATTTTTATTAAATTAGTTTCCATTTTTAAAAAAAAAAATTGAAAAATTTTTTTGAAAAGCAAACTAAAAGCCTAATTTTTTTATTTTTAATTTTAATCTTTGATCTTTGATTCGTGAATGCAAATTAAATGAAAAAAGATGTGTAAAAAATAAAATACTTTTTTTAACTTGGTTTGTATTAACAGAATGAAAATCAAATTAATAGATATTTTCCAAATATATATATTGAAAAGTAATTTCATTTCAAAAATATATATCCTTTAATGTCCTTGAGCATCACAATGGATATGTGTTAAAGTTTGTGTATTAGTATGTTATATGACAAAATGTTGTAAATATGGGATTTAATTTTGCATATTAAGTTTTGTTAGTTAATGAATGCATGAGGTGTTGTATTAAGGACACTCGTCAATTAATTTTATTAACTAGATTTATTTATGTATAAGTCCTGATAAATTTATCAATGTTAATTTATTCATAAAAATAAAAGAGATTGATAAATTATCACTTAATAAATTTATCAATAGGATTTAATTGATAATACATCTCAAAAAGTGATCCTGTAAGTTACCCAACGGTTATTTTAAACTTTAAAATGTACTTAACGTAAAAGAGGTCCACTTTCAAAAATATAATATATATTATATATGTTGTTCAAAAATAATTTAATAATAATATATATATATTATATATGTAACTTTTACAGCTCCTCATCCATGAAACATTTGTTTAAGATTGTTTATTAATGATCCGAATTGTCCATTACTAACATATAAATCAAATTCTATTTAGTTCATAAATCATTGATTGAATTTATTAAGTTTGTACACTATTTAATTAAAATATATTTAGTTGTTGAACATATTACAAAAATAAAATATAACTAAGAGCACCAACATTAAACTAATTAAAATTTTGTTATATTTTAATTTAAAAGTTACTTTTTTTATTTTGATTTTATATCTTTTTAAATACATTCTTCAACAAACTCTCTATTATTTCTCTATACTATTTAAATATTATTTTATTTATTTTTATAAAATCAATACAATTAGTTTCAAAATATAAATATTTTTTTAATATTTGGTTAGAGTAAACTACTAACTATATTTGTTGAGTCAAAACCATCAAAACTAATGGCTGACTTGATAACTAGTTTGATAGAGCTAAAATTTAGTGATTTATTTACTATTTTAACTAAAAAATAAAAATGACTAATTTGATGTTGATGCTCTAAATAATATGAGTTACTAAAAAAATCTAACCTAATTAAGAATTGCTCCCAAAAACTTTTAAATTTATATTCTATCTCCATAGATCACATTAAATATTTTTTTTTTCAGCACCCAAACTAAGGGAAAAACATGTCATTTCCTCTATCCTTCTAAAACCGTCTCCAACCACCAAATTCATCATCATCAAATTCAAATTTGGTGAAAAAGAGGTACGGTTTGTGCTCCAATGATTTCACCAAAATAATATTAAATTGAGAACGCTTCAAAATTTTCACTAAATTGAAGATCTCTTGCACCTTTCAGCAATTTACTATGTATAGTTGTTGAGTGTGGACTTACCGGACGACCAGCGGAATACCCTCTTGGATGACCATCTCAAGCAAAATTTTGTAAAAATTTTACACTGAGAGGTCAACCCCCCTGTCAACTCCCCAGTCGACCACCTCTGTATCTTTTTTTGAAAAAACAAACTCAGGAGATATTCCTTCCTCTCTCCCCCATCAACTCAACTTTCTTGACCTCTCCTTCAATTCCTTCACGGGCAGCATTCCAAACTCTATTCAGAATTTGACATTTCTCACTGGATTGTATCTCCAAAACAATTCCCTTTGTTAAACCCACTAAACCTAACCCACTACTACCTACCACACACACTCACCTCCTCACCTAACCTACCACTACCACCTCCACTTCATCCCCTACCACTTCACCTACTACCTTCTTCTCTTCTATATATTTGATCATTGTAAACAAATATTGTTGATGAAGTGGAGGTGGTAGTGGTAAGTTAGGTGAGGAGGTGAGTGTGTGTGGTAGGTAGTAGTGGGTTAGGTTTAGTGGGTTTAACACCCTTACTGGAACCATCCCCAATCTCAATCTCCCAAATCTAAAGCATTTCAATTTGAGCAACAACCACTTGAATGGCTCAATTCCATCTTCCCTCAAGAAATTTCCTGCTTCCTCTTTTAAAGGAAACTCTTTGTTATGTGGGTCACCACTGAACCAGTGCCCTATGAGCCGAGCAAGGATCCTCTAGAGTGAATTTTTCCTAAAGTTTCCTAGAGTGCTACATTGTGTGGTTGAGATTTACTGACAAGTCACCTCAATTTTTCTGATGTGACTTGCCAGTAAATCTCAACCACACAATATAGCACTCTAGGAAACTTTAGGAAAATTTCACTCTAGAGGATCCTTGGTGCTATGAGCCTCTGTTTTGTAGTAAAAGGGTACTCTTTCCTGTTTTGCAGTGTTGTTTCTCCCTCTTCTAATTATGGCGCTTTGCTGTTTGAAGAAAAAAGATGGTGGCAAGTAAAAGGTTGTGAGCAGATTTAACGAACCGTTAAAAGAAATGGGAAATGAAATGAGGAAACCGAAACGGAGGGAAAAAAAAAAATTCAGTTTCCTCTTTCCGGTTGATCGACCGGTCGTCCCCTCGGATGTTTAGTACATTTTAATGAAAGCTATAATACTCACCATTAGAGTGGTTAATATCAAATTTAGAAATTGATCTTTTTTTTAACTCAAATTTAATAAAATTTCTGATAAACCGTAGAAGATGCTATAAGGACAAGTTGAGTCCTCCAACATGTCCTTTTTGAGAAGTTGACTGAGCAGGGCAATCCTTTGCTCTTAGCCACTAAGCCACGTAATCCAAAACATCACAGTATGGGTTATAGCATCATAGACCTTTAGAATAATGTTTGCAACTTCTAATCGGTGTTTGGTTTTAGTTTTTTAAATTCAATTTTTTAAAATTTGAGTTTTTTGTTTTTCGTATTTTTTTTGTTTTTAGTAAATATTTTTAAAATTTTAAGTAATTTTTTTTACTTTTTTAGATGCACCTTACTTAAATGTATCTAAAATAGTAAAATATTTGTGAAAAAATATTTTAAAAAATTAATAAATATACAAAAATATGAAAATGTACTGAATTTTCTCTTCTTTTTTTTTTTTTGTATCTTTTGGTATTTAGTGTATTTTTAAAGATTTTTTTCACAAATATTATACTTTTCAAGTGTATTTATGTTAGGTGTCTAAAATTTTTTTAAAAATGCTTAAAATATTAAAAAAATTCATTGAAAATATTAAAATACGAAAAATAAAAAATCAAATTTTCAGTATTCTGAAAATTGAAACTAAATAAGTTGAATAGTATTTTTTTTTTCATTGCCAAATATAGAGAGCTATATTGAGAACTCTATTTTTAGGGCGTATGTCACCATGAGCCTTTTATCAGCTCCACTAAGAGCATCTTCAACTACATCCTCTTCTCAAGAGGATGGAAATAATATTTTTTATTCAAAAAGTAAATATAGAGGAGGTCACTATTCATTCAAACTCCAACCACAAACCTTCATTTCCTTCATTCAAACTACAATCAAAAAGTAATTTTTGTTCATTAATAAATATTTAATTTTAAAATTTTTGTAAAACATATTTAATATTGTACTCATTTTAAAGGTATGATTTTATACTTTTTATTAATGACATTTTTATAAAAATTAAATTTACACATTAAAAATTATTTCGAATATAATTAAGAAATATAGAGTGAATATTGTTTTAGAGTCTCCTCTATTTTTTCATCCTCCCTCTATATTTGGAGGATCAATTCATCCTCTTCTATTGAAAAGAGGATATAGAGGATGAGTTGGAGTTGTTTTTTTGGAGAGAATCCTCCATATTTAAAAGAGAAATGTTAGAGATCATGAAAATTTTGTCATGAAAATGATCATGAAAAATTTGTGACCCTTAGATTACCTTGATTAGTGTATGGTGCTTTATTGTAAGTGTAATCCAAAGGTCACAAATCTTTCATGACTATTTTCATGAAAGACTTTTCATAATATCTAGCATTGCCGTATTTAAAAATATAGAAGATGGGTTGGAGATGCTCTAGGCCCACTAAGCCTCAACTCAAGGGGTCTCTAGGTCTTGCTATTTTGACTGGGGCAAACTGTTAGCCTGAGTGAATCACACACGCGATGAGAATTTTTCATCGTCATCACTCTAACATCTAAGTTATAATTTTGACATCTCTTCAAAATACAATTCATGTGAACCTTTATTCTCAACTTTGGGGACTATTGATGTGTTGTCTGAGGATTAAACACTTTAGTAAACAAGTTAAAGAATTATTATTACATTATTTTTATAAATTGTTACATTATTTTTTTTTACTTTTTAACATATATTTTTACAAAAAATAAAAAAATTATTAAAATAATCTATTATTGAAGATTTGTCAAAACAAGCCTTATAGAGTCATAGCCTTGAGAGTGTTGTTTCCCTTCGAAGGTAACATGCTATTTCTAGGGCCATAATTAGACTCTCTTATGCTGTGTTTGGTTGGAGAATTTGGGGAAAAATTTGGAAAAGAAAATAGAAAAGGTAGGTGACATATGAATAAAGCATGCCTATATTTCACCTAGTTTCACACAGCTTTTCCTTTTCCTTTTCCTTTTGTAAATTTCTCCTCAAATTCCCCGACCAAAGACAATATTAGACTATTTTTAGTCTTTCAGCATCTCGCAATCCCTTGTGAGACTTACAATCTAAAATTCCTCAAATATTCTCTAACAATGCGCTTACTTTGATTATGAAATATCTTCACCGTACTTGCTTTTAGGGGTACCATTCAAGATATATACAAATTAATATTTTACGGTATCATTTTATGATGACTAAACCATAATATCCTTAGATTAGGATTTTGAAATTCATTTTTCCACTCTCTAAAGTTGTCGCTGTCTTTTTCAAAGTTCAAGACACTTACAAATGTGACATTTTGTTGCACAAAGGACTTGTTAAAGTATATTATCCAAAATGAATTTTAGAATAGTTTTTAATTTAAGATTGGTAACGAATTATGTTTTAAATTACGATTGATTTTCTTCATTGTTCAAAAAACAAGAAAAATTATTACAACGTAGAAAGTTTATAATATTTATTTAAATTAATAAATATCAAATACCTTAGTTTGAAATTTCACCTTATGCCCAAAAGGGTTAAAGGATGAATATGCGGTTGTTCTTTAAAACATTATAGATAGACTTTTGTAATTGTGTGTATATGACATGTAATATGTGCATAAAACACTAATGCTCTATTTGTTTTAACAGAAAACGTTTCTATAGGAAATATATTTCAAAAAATGTCTTATGCAGAAAATGTTTTCTGATGTGTAATAATAGTGGTGGCAGAAAACGCTTATGTACATGGAAATCACATTATTATTGTTGCAGTTGATGATTTTCATTTTTTATTTTTTTTCTTCTCTCCAGTATATAGTCTTAGATTTTGGTTGGGAAAAATATGAATTTAGGTTTGAATAATATTAGAGACCCATAATGTAATTTTTGTGTAGAACATTTTAGTGTTTATTTAGAATTTCTAGCATTGTTGTTTGGGTTTCAAACTAAAAAAATACCAATATCAACACAACTTTGCAAGTATTGTATAAAATAATTTGTAATTTATTTTGAGTCCCTAATATTTTTGTTTAGGTTAAATGTATTCAAATTTTTCACAAAATTTGTAAGTTGATGACAACATGAAGTGGAACCAGTGACAGAGAACAAGATGAACCACAGAATTAACTTTAGTTTCCATCAATGAAGCAAAGAGAAGAAACATTTTGATATGTTAAAAACATCACAACATAACAACTCTTCCATATGACCATGAAAAACCATTTCAAAATTCAGAAAGCAAAAACTCTATTTCAGAAGAAAAAATTTCTAAGGCAAGTGCAAAGTACAAATTGTGAGAATCTAGCCCCATTTTTACAACTCATCATTAGACTCATCATCTTCAGAATCAGTAGAACTTCCACCACTCTTCTCATAAACTTGTTTTATGACAGGATTGCATACAGCTTCAAGTTCCTTCATTTTTTCTTCAAACTCATCTTTCTCTGCATTTTGATTGTCGTCCAACCATTCGAGAGCTTCCTTCAACGTGCTCTCGATCTTCTCTTTGTCATCAGAATCAATCTTGTCAGCAAGCTTGTCCTTGTCATTGATATTGCTCTTCATGTTGTAAATATAAGTCTCGAGCTTGTTTCTGGCATCGATTCTCTCTTTGACCTTGTTGTCCTCTTCTGCAAACTCCTCCGCCTCCTTCACCATCCTGTCTATCTCCTCCTGGCTTAATCGCCCCTTCTCGTTTGTGATGGTAATGGTTTGCTTATTCTTCGCTGCTTTGTCCTCCGCAGTCACGTGTAGTATGCCATTCGCATCGACTTCAAATGTGACCTCAATTTGGGGCACTCCCCTGAAACAAATATCATGACACAGTAATAAGAATATTTCTACACACACCATTTGATGGTGATTTAGCTTATAATTTTATTTATTGTTACCGTTTAGTTATTTCTTTCTCATTTTTCTATTTTTCTTATTTGGATGGTGTAAGGAGGGTTTTTCACTTTTAAATGAATTAAATTTGATAGAGAAACCCTAGCAGTGGTTTTGGTGCTGTTTCATCTTCCGGTTCCACACCACAATTTCCTCAAAATGCACAGGAAATATAAGCTACATAATTAATCCAGTTAATTTGAAACTGTTTTCAAGTAATCACATTTTCATTAGTATCGTTGATTGGTCATAACAAAAATCAAGGCTTATTGACCTCTTAAACTTACCTTGGAGCAGGTGGTATGCCCGATAGGTCGAATTTTCCAAGCTCACGACAATCCTTAGTCAAGCTTCTTTCGCCTTCATAGACCTGAGAGGTTTCCAAGATACTTTTAACAAACACGAACGCGTTTAAAATGTATATTTAACCAATGAAAAGAGGGTCATCTCAAATACTTGAGTCTTGATCTATATGTACCTTTATTGAGACTGTTGATTGCTGGTCTTGGTAGGTTGTGAAGACCTGAGATTTCTTGGTTGGAATAACAGTGTTCCTTGGGATCAGCTTTGTCATCACCCCACCAACCGTTTCAATACCCAGACTTAAGGGAGCAACATCAAGCAAAAGAATGCCTGCATTTGAAATAGTTTCTCAGTAAATTTTCTGCTTAGAGTTATAAATCAGTAGCGGTTCAAGATTCTGTGAGACCTTAGACTAAATATTAAAATGAGACTTTAACTTATTGGGTCTTTAAAAAAATTTGGGTCTTTAAAAAATTAGGACCTTCAACAATAAGAATTTTTAAAAAAATCTTTAAAAGCCTTGGGCGATGGGCTAAGTGACCTAATGATTGAGTCACCTCTATTACAAATGAACCAAGCTATTTATGAGCTTGGTTTGGTTCATTATGCAAATAAACAACCCCGAGCCAAATTTTTAAGCTCGTTTATTATTTACTCAAGTAATAGGATAAATATATTACTTTATGTATTAAAAAATATTTAACGAGCTAACCAAACTTGATTATCGAGCCAAAATATTTCTTTATTATCAAGCTTCAAAGAGCTTGAACATGGTTAGTATAAAAGTGCAGAACCGAGCTTGAGGTGGATTAATTTTTAAGCCGAGCACGAGCTTGATTTTCTTTCTTGACAAACAAACCAGTCGAGCTCAACTCGGCTCATTTGTAGCCTGAAGGTCACCATATCTATTGTGCAAAAACAATCAATACAAGTGCCAAAATTGTTACCTTTAGTTTCTTCCCCTCCTTCACCGCTGAGGATTCCTCCTTGAACCGCAGCTCCATATGCAACAGCTTCATCCGGATTGACGCCTTTGCACGGTTCTTTGCCATCAAAGAAATCCTTCAATAGCTGTTGAACCTTAGGAATTCGAGTACTCCCTCCAACAAGCACGATCTCGTTAACATCACTCTTCTTCAAACCCGCATCTTCCAAAGCCTTCTTGACTGGCCCCATTGTCTTCTTAAACAAGTCCATGTTGAGTTCTTCAAATCTTGCTCGTGTCAATGGCTCTGAAAAGTCAATACCATCAACAAGTGACTCGATATCAACTCGGACTTGGTGTTGGCTACTTAGTGCTCTCTTCGCTCTCTCACATTCCCTTCGAAGTTTTCCGAGAGCCTTGTTGTCTTTGCTAATGTCTTTTTTGTATTTCTTGTTTATTAGCTTGATGAAATAGTCCATCACTCGGTGATCGAAGTCTTCTCCTCCCAAGTGAGTGTCCCCACTGGTCGAAAGAACCTCGAACACACCATTATCAATGGTCAAGATGCTAACATCGAATGTACCACCACCGAGGTCGTAAACTAGGATGTTTTTCTCTCCTCCTTTCTTGTCTAGACCATAGGCAATTGCTGCAGCAGTCGGCTCATTAATTATCCGAGCCACATTTAGCCCAGCAATGGTGCCTGCATCCTTGGTGGCCTGCCTCTGTGCATCATTGAAATAAGCTACAACAAAGAACATAAAGAGACCTATGTAAGTATGCAATTTAAAGACAAAGATATCCAATAAACTAGAGTTCTGTTTTTGCAATTGAAAATTATGTATCAATTACAATCCATTTCTAAGTATTTAAAGTGAACACAACATAAAGAACATGCTTGTCTACACAACGTGTACCAAATGGATTCTAATAATGGAAGCCAACAGAATAAAGAGAACATCTGACCATGAGTTAGACATGTTATGGCAAAGGCTAAAACAGAGCAAGCAAACAAACATAAGTACTAGTTGGCCACTATGACTTACCTAAGTGCTTAGTCGCTAAGGGAGGTGATGGGTTTAACTCTCCCCAGGGGAGTTGAATTAAGGGTGCTTTGCAAAGGGTGGAGACACTAACTCACTGACTTTCGGTGATTAAAAAAAGAAAAAAAAGCTAAAGTATTTACGTGATTCAATGGTAAGCCTACATTCGCGGCAACGAATAACAATGGCAGAGTTTGACTACAAATGTAGATATTACAGTGAGTTAGTTCTCTTTCAACAACCATCTCTAGAACTCCAAAATGATCCCAAAATAAAAAATAGGGCCAAAATAGACCCAAATTCAAATATCTGTTTGTAACAATCAAACGTTTGCCCATGACTTGGGTCCATTCAAGAACACCCATAACAAGACAAATTCTTCAACCACAAAAGGCCAAACTCATGGCAAGGTAAGTTGACTCAATTAATGAACCACGTCAACACTTTTATTTTTTGGTAAGCACTTCTGGGCGACCAAGTGCACGAGGCACTTATCAACGTCTCTCCACATTTTTGGAGAGTTGTTTCCGTGTTTTGACAAGCACTTCTACAATTTCAAGTTAAAACAACATCTAACTAAAGTAACAAGAATTGAAACTTACACATACAAAACAAAACAAAAAAAATGTATACAGAGAAGTTGTTCAAACACATACGATAAAATGTAGACAGAGAGCAACAAAACATTCTGGATTTTGGTCCTACCTGGAACTGTGATCACAGCATCCTTAATTTTCTTTCCCAGGAAAGATTCAGATGTCTCCTTCATCTTCCCCAATATCATAGCACTGATTTCCTCAGGGCTAAACACTTTAACTTCACCATCCTTTATCTTCACCTGTATATAAGGTTTCCCTTCTTTGTTCACAATCTTATAAGGCAACAACTTCATATCCTTCTGAACCTCTGGATCATCAAACCTATCAAGAAAACCAAACCAAACCCATATAAATTCACACACTGACACAAAACCCAGTTAGAATTTCACCGAAAATCATCAAAATTCGACTTACTTTCTTCCGATTAGGCGCTTAACATCGAAGATGGTGCGTTCTGGATTGAGAGCCGCTTGATTCTTCGCGGCTTCCCCAATCAGACGCTCTGTATCGGTGAATGCAACCCACGAGGGGGTGATTCTGTTTCCTTGATCGTTCGCTATAATCTCGACGTGACCGTTTCGATACACACCCACACAAGAATATGTAGTACCCAAATCAATACCGATCACTGTTCCAAGCTTCGGAGATTCCTCGGCAGCTGTTGCTAATCCTAGTAAAAACTCTTAAAAAAAAAAAAAAAAAACAGAATTAGACAAGTATATTAACGAATTTCCTATGAAATGCTTAATTTATAAATATCAGTAAATGTGAGAATGAAAGCTTTCTTTTGCTGATGTCCCAACTATCGACATTTTCCTTATAGTTTCCACTATTTTCTAAGCAAGCAAACAGGTTTATTCAGAAACAGAAAAAAAGTTCTTTTAAGACTAATTTTTTGTTATAACAAAATCTTGGTCGATCTTCGCCATTGGGCTGTCATTGTGAAATGTCTAAGATTCAAAATTTAAACCTGCTTTCTTTTTTTACCACAGTTTCCCAGCAAACAAACAGAAAACAGAGTTGAACTTATAAAACAACAAAGCAATTCATGCATGCGAACCAAAAAATAAATTCAGTAGAATTGAGTCATTGAGCATTCTTTTCTTTTCCTATCCTATTAATTTCTGAGATACCAAACAGAGAAATGAACCACTCACATAACACAACAAAACTAACCTCAAGAAAAACAAGAACCCAGAAAGTTAAAATTGATTTAATTACCTGAAAAGAAGAGAAGAAGAAGAACAAGTGCTTTGTTCGTGAACCCCATTGACTTGAATCCCATTGATGTTCTAACTTCCTCTGATTTGTGAGTACAGAGTATATAAATGATTTGGAATTTGAGATTTTTTTTTCTCAAGTTGATGAACTCTGTGAGTGTGGAGGGAGAGACAGGTGTGAGGGGTTAATTTATAGTTTAAAAGAGTTCGGTGAAGGACGGGCATTGCTAGAGTGTTCTGGCCAATGGGTGTGAGCCACGTAATTGTTCGGTTGCTTTGCTTTGTTGGTCGGGCCTCTACTGGGCCTGCACGTATGACATCCAACGAGACATCGACACATGAGATTATTGTTCGATTCATCGTGAGGGGTCACGAAAGTTCTTGATTCCTATAGACAGCATCCTTTGCGCATTGCTATAAGAGGGTTATTTTAGGTATTTGATTAATAATAAGAGATAATTTAATGCAGTGAGATTGATAAAAAAATTTACAAAAGTATGTGAGGTGCGTAACTTGTAAATGATTTTGTGAGTGTGTAAAAAAATTTCCCCTCCTACCCGGATGTAATTCCTTCTAAAAGTAATACGAGTAAGTTATGAAAAATTTGATCAAAATTCTTTGATAATAAAATTTTAATTTATTAAGGACAAATTCAAAAAAAAAAAAAAATTCTTGAAAATCTAACAAATATCACTATTATTACCAAAATATCATTAGTGACTAATTTAATATTTTAAATTTTAATTTTGATTTAGATGTCGATTTTTAATAAAATTAGTATTTTTAGAATTCTTTTATTAAGATCTATCAAATAAGATCCATGTTGACTATGAAATTCTTAAAAAAAAAAAAATCTTCAAAATTGATGTAAACAGTAACATATTATTTTGTTTCACAGTAGTATGTTACTGATTACTACAGTAACACTTTACTGTCCTCTTGAACATGGTATCAGTAACAAAAACCAGAGTATGAACTAAATGAAACTTTACGAGTTCTTTCACTTCGCCCTCTGAAGTTGACGAATTTGATCGCAACAGTAAAGGGTGATCGTTATATTCAACTTCTCTCCCTGACATTTCTAATTCATTCACATAACCTCATCCTAATATCTATATATATATATGCAAGGGAAAATTACAAAAAAAAAAAAAACCATGGTTTAGCACATTTTTCAATTTAAACCCCAAGTTTTCAATTTTGACAATTTGTACCTCACCATTTCACCTGTGTTTCAATTTGATCCCCTTGTCTATCTCCGTCTCTATTAGTTAACGGAAGACTAATTTGGGCACCAAAATTGCCCTAATATTCACGATTTAGGGCAAAAGACACCTCTCTATTGTGATTTAGGGCTTCATACAACCCACCTAGTGCGATCGGTGATTCAACCCGCGATGAATCCATGCATTGAAGGAAGACAACAATTTCATAGTTGATTTTCCAAAAAGCTTTGGACTCTGAGATAGAGGTAAGAAATGGGTTGGTTTTTGGTTGTTTTATACAGGTTTTCTGATTTCTCTTTTCTCCATTGTTGACCTTCTTTTTATCTCCATTGTTGACCTTTTTTTTTCTCCATTGTTGACTTTGTTTTTGTCTCCATTATTGACCTTCTTTTTCTCTTCATAGTCAGTGCAAACTGTTTTCTATGCTATCAAAGTAAAAGACAAAAATAAGTGAAGGTAATAGCTGTGTAATGACCCCGACCTCCGATTAATGCTGATTCATGATTAATTATGCTTAATAGTAATTTAGGAAGGATTTGAGATTTATTTGCATGTGTATTGCATTATTTATGTGTTTCTATCTGTTTGTGATAAAATGATCTGTTCATGTCTTTAACCTTAAATTGCGAATTGAAAGCCTTATTGGCGTCCGAACTAGAAATCGACTTGATTTATGTGCTAGTTAAGATTTATAGAATTTTATAGTAGGTTTAATTAAAATTCGGTTCGGAGCAATTAAATAACGTTAAATTACATTAGTTCAATTATTTACGACATTGCCATTAGTGGGCCACTTAGGTACCATTGCTTGGAACTCAATTGCATACACTTCATAACATTTCCTCAGTCATTTTTGTGATCAAAAACGTAAGAAAGAGTGAGAGAAGAGAAAACTTAGCTTCAACAAGAGATTTGGCTTGAAACTTAGGAGAATTGAAGAGGCTTTGCAAATTTGAGCTCCTAGACTTGGAATTCAAGGTTTAAGGTAGAGAATTCATCTTCTCCATTGTGATTTTGAGTTACTTCTTGCATGGTTCATGGTGAATTAGAGTTTAGAGTCTAGTTTTGGTTCTAAATGTTGAATTGAGTACGAATTCTTGCATGCATGTGTATATCATGAAGTTTGAGGTTGTTTTCATAGAAATTTTTGCATACATGTCCACATTTTTGTTATAGTCCATGAACTCACCATGTTTTGAAGTTAAATCTTGCATTTGATCTTGTTTTAGAACTTTGGAGTTTCAAGGAAACCATGTATGTGTTGAATTTGCATTGTTCTTCATGTTCTTGAAATTTATTTGAAAATTGTGTTTAATTGAACTACCTTTGAGCTTTGATTTCTCAAATTGATTTTTGAAACATGTCATATAATGAGTTTACAAATGTTTTCCAGAAAATTAGCTCAAAAGGATCGAATTTGATGCATTGTAGTTGAGTTTTGAGCTTGAGGTCCAAATTTGGAAATTCTAGATTTTGGACTCACGCTCAGGCGGAAAACTCCACGCTCGAGCGTACATACTGAGTTCATGCATTACGCTCGAGCGAGTAAAATGACGCTCGAGAGGGAATTTCGTGTATCCAGTACTTTGCCTGTGTTTACAGTCCGCTCGAGCGGGGTAATGCACGCTCGAGCGAGGACTTGTGTCTCACGCTCGAGCGAGCGGGTATCGAGCGCCCGTCGAGCGTGAATTTCATGCATCCAGTACTTTTACTGTAGCTTGCATTCCGCTCGAGCGGAGTAATCCACGCTCGAGCGGATTCCTTTTGTCTGCATGTCCGCTCAAGCGTAGAAGGCCACGCTCGAGCGGGACCCCTGTTTCAGCAAAATTTTGAAAAGTGTTTTAAAGCACATCTTTGTATCCTCATTCTATCCTAGGCATTCCGAGGCCATGTTTTAGACTCTATAGTGAGGGTAAGAGATTAGAAACACACTAAGAGCCATGAAATAAGTTTTGTACAATTAGAATGTGTGTTTTAAGTGTGTATCTGTTATGTGTCATGTAGGTCACGTGCCGCGTGCCACGTCCTGTCTGATCGATCTGCTCTGTCTGTCTGTCTCTAAGCCCACTGTGAGTAATAACTCTGTAAAGTTATGTTCAACCTAAGTATTTTCTGACTGGTATTGTATGATCTGTTTTCTGAAATGCTATCTTACGAAATATGAATGAATGTCCAATTTTCTGAAAAGTAATTGTGGCACCCTTAGTTCACGTGGCCTTCGTCCGGGGGTAACAATACCGTGGCCAATCTGCATGTGGCCTTTGCCCGGGGGTAACAATACCGTGGCCAATCTACACGTGGCCCTTGCCTGGGGTGTAACAATACCATGGTTACTCGTGCGCAAGATATGGACCTTTGTGGTCGTTGGTACCAACTATATATGTGGGTCTCTGGACCAATCTGATCTGATAGCTAATGGGTGTACCACGTATGATCTTATGCAAAATCTGAATATACAAACATATATGAATCTGTTTCTGTTTTGAAGTCTGATTATGCTCTGAATTAAATACTGGATTCTAACTTGTGATGGACATCATTCATATAACCCCTTTACTCTGTTATTATTCATTGGGCTTTCGCTCACAGTTTATATTATGTATGTAGGTGAGCCGACACATGACCAGGGCCAGAGTTGGCGGCCCTCTGTACCGTTTTGTCAGCCAACCCTTGTGCCTCCCGAAGAGGTTCCGTCCGAAGTCTAGCGCCAGGGCTTTTTTTATTTTCATGCTAGTTTCTGTAACTGTTTGTAAAGTCAGATCTTGGGAAGTTCACTTCTGTAAATATTTGTAAATATTGTGTATTCGGACTGGCATGCTTATATATCTATAGTAAGTTTTGAAATGTTTCGTCCCATGTACGTTATCACAACTCATTGGACCTTGTTTATTTTGTATTATTGCTTCCGCAGCCCCTTATTACTTGCTAATCTGTTCAGAGGCCTTTGGTAATCCACGGATTACTGGCCGGTTACGGTGCTAAACCTACAGGGGCGGGTTTGGGTCGTGACAAGCTGGGATGGAAATAATTGGAGTGAGTTAACTCGTTGTAGCTGTGGGTTAGAAATTCATGGACTCATGCTAACCTTGCTAGGAGGTTTTTGGGTTATCCTAATTATGGAGTATGCGTATACAATTTTTCAATAAAGTCAGTTAGAAATTTTTCATATTTATAGGAAATTGAGAATAAAGTAATATCTTCAATTTGAAGAAGATAGCAATTGTATAGAAGATTCACCCAAAAATAATTGTATGGGAGAATGACATGAACACTTGCTCAACTTTGTTTATGTTTGATTGCAATTACAGAAAAATGGGGCTCGTGGTTTCTTTTCCTAGTACGATCCACCCACATGTGCTCGTGGTAGACAAGTTTTGCCGAAGTTGGTGGATAAGGTTTCAGCCCTAGAAGAATTTGTCAATGAGGTTGCACAATTAGAGGATGTTGTTTAATGTTATCGTGCATGACAGAAGTGGCTTGTCATTGTCTTGATTGCTACATTGCTTATGAATGGACTGTTTCTACTCCAAAATAGTTGAAGGAAAACTTGTGTTTAGGCTTGCTATGTAATTCATAATATGTGTTTTTGCTGGGTACATTACTTCCACAATATGTTTTGTAATTGCAATGCTTTTGTTGAACAATGGCAATGTCAATTGTGTTTGGTTTGAAATGGTGAAATGGTTTGTTATCAATTGCAATTGCAATTGCAATGCTTTTGTTTTGTAATGGGGAAATGGTTTGTGCAATGCTTTTGTTTTGTAATGGTGAAATGTAAATAAAATGTTTGGTTTGAAATGGTTTGTGCAATACTTTTGTTTTGTAATTGCAATGCTTTTATTATCAATTGGTGCAATGCTTTTGTTTTGTAATGGTGAAATGGTTTGTGCAATGCTTTTATTTTGTAATTGCAATGCTTTTGTTTTGTAATT